ACATGTTATGAATGCTGGCATATCGTAAATGATAAATTATGAACAGTTTAGTTTGTGCCTTCAAGTCGTTTGCCCATAGGAAGGTGTTACTTGGATATAACCTAACGGAATATCTTCGGAACAGCTCCAAATGACATAAAAATAATACGGGTGTGTAAAATATGATGTAATGTGTAAAATCAAGGGCCCAGTGTAAAAAAAACTGCACTCCCCTTTAAAAAACTGTCTATCAGTCAATGTCTACTTAAGATCTAAGGTTCTTTGTGAGTAGCTTTTATCTTACCAATGTATAGTTTAAGAATAATCTGAAATTCAAGAGATCCTGAGATTTTTTTTTCTCCAGAATACCATCATTGGGATCTAATTTTAGCCTTGGGATTCTTTGTGAATATGGGAGCAGAGCTTTAGCACTGAGGCAGAAGGCATGTTTGTCTCTGTGTACGGGTGCTGATTTCTGGCAGGTCTTGCTCATTTCTGTTGTCAGTTAAGGGTTGAAGAAGAACCAGTAGAACCTGTTCTTCCAAGAGAAGTCATCCAAAAGGATAACTTCCATTGGCTTCAGGGTTTTCACACAGAGTAGGCAGGTATTTTTTTTTTTTTTTTTACCAGAACTGGTCAAACTGCAGACAGTGACATCATTCCAATGGGAGATTCTCTTCACCACCTATTAAGAATTTAAGAGGACCTAGGTTAAACCATCTAATCAAAATAAGAACAACTGATGTAGTGGATGTGAATTGTGCTTTCATTTAAAGTAGGAATATTTGTATTTTAATGCTACATAAACAATTGTTAATCCATCTGAAACTGGATTAGCAACTGGAAACTTCCCACCATTTCATCTCTTTCCCACTGATGTTTGACAGCCTTGGGGTTATGTGTTATTTGAACCTTCTGTCCATTTTTAAAGGATACAAAAAGAGCATAGTCCTATGGTGTGACAGCTGTAGAAAAACTTGCGTTGCAAATATTATTTGTAATACATATACAGATGCTTAGGATGCTGACGGATGTCAATTTTAAGTCGTAATGTAATCGGCACTTTTTCCTTAACTGATTTCCTTGCTGTATCCGTTTTGTCATCTGTTTTAGTCAAGTTGCATAAGGACATAGGAACAGGATACTCGCCAAAGAATGAAGAAAAAAAGAACAAGTCAGCATCCCCCCCCCCTTTTTTTTTTTATTCTGCTGAACCTGCGGTCAGCGGCATGCCTGGTCAAAGATTACAAAGCTCTATAATGTGTGGCATTTAAGAAAGAGCTAAGCTTCAGGTGTCATGTGAGAGTTGGCTGATCATATGAAATGACTGCAGCTCGTAAACTAACGTTTCCTCCTGCTTTCTTCTTATTTCTCCTCATCAGTTTGTTTCTCACTCTGTTGTTTTTAGCAGATTGGGAGCATGAATAACTGATTTTATACAATGTATGGCCTAATTTAGCTTTTTTTTCTTATTACATTTAGGGCTGCAACTAACGATTATTTAGCAAATTGACTAATCTGTTGAATATTTTTATCAATTAATTAATTATCGAATAGCCAAAGATTCCTTAAAGAAGACATGAAATAAATCAGGCAAAACTCAAGCCTTTCGACTTTAGTTCTGGAGCATATTGATGGAGTTTGTTTTATCTTAAATGCAAAATGGTTTTTATATTTCTTTACAAACTTGGCATAATTACTGCTCTAACTAGGTTGCTCTGTCAGCTAAAGGCATGTTTTAGAGTCTCTTTTTTTTTATTTTTTATTTTTTAAAGAGTATACTCCAGTTAACTACTAAATTAGTTGACAAGTATTTCAATAATCAATTAATTCGATTAATTGTTTCAGCCCTAATTACATAAAGTCTAACTCTGGATGTAAGTTAGATATTCTCCCTGATTCTCAGTCAAAATTTTTATTTTTATTTGTTTTTTTTTTTCAGCTGCCTTCCTCACACAGACAGTATGTTTGGATGATACAACAGTAAAGTTTGAGATCTGGGACACCGCAGGACAAGAACGGTATCACAGCTTGGCACCTATGTACTACAGAGGAGCCCAGGCTGCCATTGTGGTCTTCGACATCACCAACACAGTGAGTGACGTGACTAGTAGGAAAATGGCAGTGCCCTCTAAAACTTTGTCTTCCATTTGCTCGATTATGTTAAATTTAAGAGTTAAGACTTGCGTAACCAATTTAAATGCATAAAATCACATGATTGTGCACATTTCCTTGTAAAGGACACCTTCACACGTGCGAAGAACTGGGTTAAGGAGCTTCAGCGACAAGCCAGCCCCAACATTGTTATTGCACTAGCAGGAAACAAAGCCGACCTGGCCAACAAGAGAGCCGTCGAATTCCAGGTAAGGAGGAAAATAAACACAGTATTTCACTCAGGTTCTCATTTAAAGGAAAATGCGCTCCAAATGTCCTGAGATGTTTTTCATTGGTCCTGTAGGAAGCACAAACATATGCGGACGACAACAGTTTGCTCTTTATGGAAACTTCAGCCAAGACCGCAATGAATGTTAATGAGATTTTTATGGCCATAGGTGAGTGTTTGACAGAAGTCCAAGTAATTAATTAATTATTAAACAGGCAGAGGAGGAATTCATAGTCACTCTGTAATCATGCTTTATTTAACCTGATCAAAATCCAAAGAAGTTTTTTTTTTTTTTTATTTAACAGAAAGATTATGATCTCATTGTATCATTAAGATTTCAGTTTCAAGTTAATCAAAAAATCGATTTAAAATTCTGAATTTCTCAATATTCTCTAGTTTTTAGGTTTACACTTTATTGGGAAACAGTAGGGCCCTTTGTTGGGTTACTTAAAAGTAGAGATTAACAGATGCTCTTCGTTCTCCACAACAGCCAAGAAACTTCCGAAGATCGAGCCTCAAGGTGGAGCGGGGCCAGGTGGACGGGCCAGAGGTGGCGTGGACCTGCAGGAAACCGCTCCACAGGGCCGAAGCAGCCAGTGCTGTGGGGGTGGGAACTAACTAACTCAGTCAGCTGATCCAACCCATTTACAGCTTCGATCAATCACACCAGATATTAGCCAGCTGTAAAACGATGCCCCGTTGGTCAAACAAACCAAACCACTAAAAGACCAACTTGTCCTCTCGGCACCAATTAACTGTTTGAAAAAAAATTTTAGCATACTGACCAGTACATTGCCAGATCCCACTGATGGTCCCAGCTTGATGAACCTGCCAAAAATACCAAGAAATCAACCTACAGGCTCAATCACAGAATCATGTCTTTCACCCCTGGACTCACCTGTCCATTACCTTTTTGATGACGGACACATGGCGTCACCTTGGAGGGAAAAACAAAATCCAATTCATGCAAGGAAAGCGGTCATTAACCATTGCCTCCAACGGAGCTATCTTGTCCACTGTTCTGTGTTTGTATTGAGAAAAATAAATTAACGCAAAAGGAAGGAGTGCACGCTCCTTGTTTTACTAGGACTCACTTTACAACTGCACCATAAATGTTTCCATCATGCTATTATGTTGAAGAAAGGTGCATGCAGAGTCTTAAAGGAATCAGATCTATAGAATTGAGCTGTGTACATTGAATGATCTCTATTAATAAAGTTTTATTTTTCTTTTGGCACAGACTGGACAGTATGATTTAAAACCTGTCATAAGGTTTTAGTCCTTTATCTATGTTATCAAAGCGTATACAACAAATGCATCTTTATTAACAATTTCACCTGTATGTAATTTTAGCTTTAATGTAATGTTTTTGATTTATCAGTGTAAAAATGGGAGATGTGTAAAGTTCTTTTTTGTTTCTTGACCAAAATCACAACTGCATATATGACTTATTTCTGTATTTGTAAGACTTTGGAAGTTTGCAATCGATCTGTAGTTACTGTCTAAAAAAAAAAAAAATCTTCTCAATCTGTTTATATTCTGTCAACATTTTTTTCCCTCTGTCTTAACTTTTTTCCCCTCTGAAGATTGATGGTATTAAATGCACGGGTTCTGTCTCATCAGTTTTGTGAATTGAGATGTTATCTTTTGCTTCTCTTATTTCAAGGAGGGATTGGTGTTGAGTCGTCACCCTACTGTGGCATCAAAATCTTGCAAAAAGAGAAGGCTAAAACAACTTTCACTAGAGCAGCACTCACTGCTGCAAAGTGGAAGGATAACGGGTAGACTGGATGTGTAGAGGAGGAACAAAAATGTAATTTTACAAATAAAAGAGCAGATGGTACCTTTCTGTGTTTTAATCTTATTTTTATAATAAGTATTCTTACAAATGCAGTTTCCATCTTGGAGAGAATAATTAAATTTTAGTGGCTCTTTTCAACTATAGATTTAGCTTAATTTTGCAGTTAATGCTCAAAATGTAACATCTGAAAATAAACCTTTTGCAACTGTAGTTTGATTAGATAAATTTTTAAGTTAAAGACTTTGGAAAGATAAGGTTTTAAAACCCCAACTCCTCACAACTATATAGTATGGTTAGGTTATATTTGATATGATTACATTTTTAATATTTAGAGTTTTAGGCATGGTAAAAAGGTGATGCCCCTCCCTCACCTGTTGCTGCAAACCAGTATCTTACATTAAAGCTTTTTGCACTCCATTTTGAATATGCTTAATATAGTTTTATCAGTAGTAGAGAAAATTGGATGTCTTGAAACCTATTAAATGATGTTTTTTATGTTTTTGTGTAACTATATATCGTTTTTTTTAACATCAGGTTTGCCACATTGTGGAAATTGCATACCAACCTGTATACAGTTGAGAAGTCAAATGTTTTGCAGTGTTCACTGGCAGTCAGGACTTCAAAATCTGCAGGTTCTATTTAGCTGCAAACGATAATCTTGATATATAATTATTTTTAATGGAGTAATGTAGCTTTTAACATCAGGCGTGACAGATCATTACATTTTATATACAGCACGATATCTATGTAAATGTTTCTGTGATATTTGGTCTGTAGAAAGCTCATTTTTCCGACCGCACCTAAAGGCAGCAGCGTATGAGCTAATCGGTAGCGGAGGGAAGTGTGTGTAGCCGCAGCGTGGATATGTCGGACCCGGCTACACAGGCCTTACAGCCCCGGCTTCAAGCCCAGGCGAGTGGCTCGGCGGAGACCGGGGCTTCCACTGCAGGCCCCGGGACAGCCAGCAGCGACCCGGTTAGACCCGGACTTAGCCAGCAGCAGCGCGCGAGCCAGAAGAAAGCCCAAGTCCGGGCTTTCCCACGAGCTAAAAAGCTGGAGAAACTTGGCGTATTCTCCGCGTGCAAGGTAGCTAACACGGCTAGCCCAACTTTGCAACAACAAAACAATGATATGAACTTAAAATATTTTATATACCTTAATAATAACACACTATTAAAACAGTTAAACAGCGTAGCTGTAAAACATCTTAGCTAGCTAACATAACGGTGAAATGGACGCTTATATTATAGCATTGAAGGATATTTCTTAGCTAGCTTAATTGATGCCAGTGATTGACATGATAAGCCATCATTTTAATTGTTCGTGCGGCTTATTTTGATCTTATTGTCAGGCCAGTGATACATGCAAGTGCAATGGATGGAAAAACCCGAATCCTCCCTCTGCTACACGGATGGACCTGCAGCAGCAAGCAGCCAGCCTGAGCGAGCCCTGCCGCAGCTGTGGACATGCACTGGGTACCAACTAAGCAGCCTCTTCACTCAATCACAGAACCATGCAGCACGATGAGCATCTTGACACAACATCTGTCTTAAAATGCATGTTAGATCCGGACATATTTTCCAAACCACAATCAATAATAATTCAAGTTATTGAGCTATCTTAGGTGGGGTCTCAAATTGCATCTGCATCTCAACGATTATTCCCTTTACATGGCTGTCAACTCTCACCCATCTCAGTGTCTTCACACAATTTCACTCCATATTTCCAATTTCTCACACTAAAAAATGACAGACATTCAAACTCAACTCCGTTCCACGTATTTATGTGTATAAAATACCATGGTGATCAAAATCCAGCCTGTGTTTTTAATTCAACCTTAGTGCCAACACAGGAGGATATGCCAGGTTTATTTTGGTCCATTTGATTTGTTTAAAAACTTAATTTCCATCACACCTTACTAACTGAAACATCCAGAGAAGTGCTGTATCCTGTCATTATGAGTTTTTGTTAAATCTACAGCCTCCTAAAATGTCTGAATTGTTTAGCTGTTTTGTCAATTGTAAGAAAAACTAATAATATAATGAATGATTTTTAATCCTTAGCCTATTACCAAATATTCATACAGTGTAGTTTGCATATGTTTCGATTGCACTGGTTCCTGTATCATTGATAACTTATTAGTTCCACATTGTTTTGATTTACTTTAACTGCAGAGAATAATTAATAAACAAAGTTGTGAAATTCTTAGTTTAAAGTATATTTAAGATGCATGCATTTTAGTGGGGCCCATTATATTTTACTTCAATTCTCTAAAAATCACCAGATTGCAGAAAATAATGTATATTATAGATGTCCCGATCCAGGTTTTTGCACTTCCGATCCGATACCGATATTGTTTTTGGACTTCCGATCCGATACCGATACTGGCCGATACCAGCCTATCCGAGCATGTATTTAAGTTTAAGTTAAAGTATTTAGCCTTAGTTGTAAGACTCATGTTGAAAAGGGTTTTAGTACTCTTGATAACATCTAGCCAGCTAAATTAGGTGAGATTGAATAAAACACAATGCTTGGTAACAACAAACTTACCTGTTTATTAAGAGATAAACACAAACTGGACAAAATTACGAATAGCAATCTAATATTGCACAGTGAACAGTAAAACCATAAACAGTTAAAGGTGCTATATTACTGTAAGTTTTAATAAAAATGCAAAACAGGGGAACACTGGCGGAAAATAGTGGAATGGATCGTTAATCGGCGAAACTGGAAAATACGGACCGGATTTTTTTTTTTAAAAACTGGATCGGCAGTCTGGATCGGCATTTTACATGCTTTGCCAATACGCATTTTTTTGCCAATATCGGCGTCTCGATCCGATCCACGTATCGGATCGGGACAAGCCTAATGTATATTGTAAGAAAAATTATCCACATAACTACAGACCACTTATTGTTACTCAGTAACATTTACTGTGCTATAAAAATTCCACATTTTGACACTTTGTTTCAGTTAAATCCTCTGAAAACCTCCAACCTATAGCTGCACCTATCCTCATCTACCGGTAACCCTGACAGGGTTTCCTGTCCAAACTATTTTTTAAAATCTCATCCCAAGGTTTGGTGAAAAGTTGGCAGCCCTGCCTGTAGTTTAATTTACCAACTTGTAATATTGGAATAAAAAACAAAATCATGTTCCCTGGATAGCTTACTTTCATCATAGTGTTTAGGAGTTTCAATGATGGTTTTTGTTTTTCTTTTGAGGGGGACATTGCTTTTATATAGCCAGTAATTTCCAAAAAACTCATTAAAGAGAGGCATTATTCATTATGGTATATGAATAGAATGCGTTTTTGATTAATACACTCAAAATATTTTGAAAATGTATAATAAATCCTATGCGATGAAAAATAAAATAACTACCCACAAACCTTTACTCAGTTGAATTAGATTGGTTTTATAGATTTCCATTTTAGAGCAGAAGTCATCTAAAAAAATCTAGACAAGTAATTTTTTCTTAAAATAACTGCATTTGTTCTTGGATTAAGGAGGTAATTTTACAAATGGAACAAGACAATTTACATTTAAGATAAGAAAACAAAATTGGTTTGTCTTATTTTAAGTACATGTTATCTAATTATCTTGTTTTAAGAGTATAAATACTAGAGTAAAAATATTCCATTGGCAAACTCTCATTTATCTACTCAAATTAATGGTAAATACACTTAATTTAAGAAAATTTTACTTATTTCTAGATCGTTTTTCCAGTGTAGAAAATTGAGTCTAGTTTAGTTTTGTCCTTAGACTTAACTTTATTGTGGTTTGGTATACAGTGTATACAAAACAAAATTTTGTGTATACAGCTGTTACACAGGCAATAAAATCATATTCTGGTTTATTGCAAAGCAAGACATTTATCTCAGAAAGTCCACACTTAAAAATGTATTCTTAAATCATTATACCAAAACAAAACTAATAGATGTGAAACATAATGGAGAGAGTAACTTGGTTTGGTTAAGACTTAAATGTTTTGGATTTTACCCAGAGGACTTCAGCCTCAGAAAGAAAATGTTGGGTTTGATTCATTTACTTCTAATTTATTTGATAATTATGGTTAAATATTTCTACTCCTTATAGCTAATCATTAGTATGCAGTTCCCCATGCTTCTTCCCTTATCCTATTTTTTAAACTAGTTTTATATAGAAAGCTGATATATATTTTTGCAGATACATTTGATATTTGTCTTTATCTTTAATATGCTGTGCTATGACATTTGTTAAAGTGCTCTTACTTATCTTTTAATGATTTAGTAAAAGTTGGCTTTCCTAGTTGTCTTATAAAAGATCAAAAAAACAGACCCTTGCTCACAATTTTGTCTTTTTTCACAGCTGATCACGTGTCCCATCTAGAGAACGTGTCTGAGGATGAGATCAACAGGCTGCTGGGAATGGTGGTTGACGTGGAGAATCTTTTCATGTCTGTACACAAAGAGGAGGACACTGATACCAAACAAGTGTACTTCTACCTTTTCAAAGTACGCCATAACTGCATTTCAGAATTGCATTAATTTGAAACGCCCAAAGCAGACAGCCTGGTGCTCAATGTCTTTCATTGTGTCTTTAAGCTCCTGAGGAAATGCATCCTCCAGATGAGTCAGCCTGTAGTAGAGGGATCCCTCGGAAGCCCACCTTTTGAAAGGCCCAACATTGAGCAGGTAAGATAAAGCTTCTTAGAAAGTATCTACAATTAAGGATTGTGTTTTTTTTTTTTTTTTTTTTTTTTTTTTTTTTTTTTATTAATTTTGTCTATCTTTCATTTTGGCAGGGCGTTTTGAATTTTGTACAGTATAAGTTCAGTCACCTTGCACCAAAGGAGAGACAGACTATGTTTGAACTGTCAAAGATGTTTCTTATATGTCTGAATTACTGGAAACTTGAGACACCAACACAGTATCGTCAGCGTACCCAGAAAGACGATGCAACGGCGTACAAGCTGGACTACACCAGGTGTGTGCATAAGTTTTTTTCCATTTTGTTTGAATTTTTAAGTATCCAAATTAGTTCATTTTACAAATATATTATAAATCGCATACATGACAGCAGTGTTTATCTCCATTACTGCCAGGTGGTTGTGCTACTGCCACGTCCCACAAAGTAACGACAGCCTGCCGCGCTATGAGACGACGCAGGTGTTTGGCAGAAACCTCCTTAAATCCATTTTCACCGTTACTCGCCGGCAACTCCTGGAGAAGTTCAGAGTGGAGAAGGACAAACTGCTGCCAGAGAAACGCACACTTATCCTCACGCACTTTCCTAAGTAAGAGCAGCTTCTCCAGTGCTTACATTTAATGGGAGTTTCTTTCATTATGATGAAAATAACAGAAGTCATTTATAAAATTAGATAACAGATTAAAAAAACAACCAATTAAAGGCATAATAATCTTTTGAAATAATCATTTTTTATTTCCACTGGACCTTTCTAAAGCTTTAAACTGGATAAAAACAGGCTATAAAACAAACGGGAGGAGATAGTTTAATAAGCTAAACAATCTTGTTTGTGCAAATAAACAAAATGTACAAAGATGTGCTTTAGTTGAGGTGGTGTTAGTTTAAACTTTAGAATAGAATATTATGTTTTATTTCAATGAAGGGAAAAAACGAAAGGCGTTGCAAACATTTGCATTTATCAATATCCTAACCTCAGTATCTAGTAGCAGCATTTTAATAACAAGTTTTCTGCAAAATGCTCCCTCCTAGTTTTATTACTGATTGTTGAATATTCTAAGCATATCCTCTAAAGTACTGATGAGAGTCGAGATTAAAATTAAATACAGACAATAAGGTTAAACATTAACTAAAAAGTAAAAAATCTATATTTAATTCAAACAACTGTTGCAATAGAAAAAAAAATCACAAATGTACTGGAATCATGTGTAACAGTATATAAAATAATTTGAAATAAATACAATGTTGAATGAAAAGTGAAATTAAACCTAAAGATTTTTAAAATATATGCTAACATGTCATTGGATTAGGAATAAACAATCCTATAACTAAACATCACTATAACATCTATGCTTAATCTTTAAAGATTATAACATTTGTTTCTAAAATAAGCACTTGTCTTCATTAGCCAAAGTTTTGATTCATTATGGGCTTTTTTCTTTCTTTTTTGACATCTCTTTTATATTTAAATCATTTTTTGTATGTTATATATTTAAATTTGAAATAGAATACTGAATATTTTTGTTCCTACTTTTTGAATCACCCTTTATAGATCTGTTGTTTTATTCACGTGTGTTTCCAGGTTCCTGTCGATGCTGGAAGAAGAAATCTACGGTGAAAATTCCCCCATATGGGAGGCGGACTTCACCATGCCCGCCTCAGACAGCGCGCAGATCGGACATCAGACAGGTGAGGCCGGAAAAACCTGATTTAATCAGACTAGAGAATACAAGAATAAAGCACATTTCTGTTTAATCGCTTATTAGTTAAAAGGAGGTGGCCTTAAGTTTAACTCCATCTGGCCAGTAGATGGCATACTCACCTGCTCTCGTTGCAACCTTCAACTGTACTCTCCTGCCAGTGGTGTGCACAGTCTTTAAATGCAAACCCTAACATTTGGTTGGCATTAGCGAACATTTACCTTTGCTGTCCAGAAAGCAAGGCGGCCTTCTGAAAGCGGCACCAACGCTCAGCCGATGTGTAGCCTCATTGGTCATATCCAGCTCTCCATTCAGAATGTCTAGACTGGTGCAGAATAAAAGTATTAATTTAAATGAAAATACAATATTACATGTATATAATTATTTTATACATTATGAGGATTTCAGACTTAAAAAATATATACTTCTGATGAAGATGCCAATGTGGACATGAAAGACTCTGCACAAATTTTTCTAGATGTTGTATTTCTCAGAAAAAAAATAGCAGTATTTATCTATATATTTCATTTTGAATGAAATTGTGCCGTTTTTAAAAATTAAAATTTGGCATGAAGAAAATCGTAGCTATGACCTTTTAAGAAATAGAGCTTGTTTGAGTTGTCAGCTGGAAGTCTTCTTGGACTTCCTCTTATAGAGTATTTTCAATAAAGTATATTGGCTCAGTTAAAATTCCTTTCCAAACTCATAAATTGCTAAATTTTTCTATTTGAATTTCTCAGACATCTCTATAGTATGGATTCACTCTGCAGTACAACCAGCTTAATGCTAGTGTGCAGTTTAGCCATTTGAAGTGGGTGAAATTCTGGGGGTGTTCATTTTTAAACCTCACCTGTTTTGGAAGATTTTCAGTAAAGACTTGAAATGTGTTATCTTAATTTGTATGACCTATTTATAACTGGGTATTTTTTTAATATATATATATATATTTTTTAGTTTATCTAAATTGAAGATAAAATATTTTAAGCCCCAAATATGTCTGAAAATACACACAGGCTGTTCCAGGAGCTTCGTGTCTATTTTTACCCAACTTTACACCTGCAGGAATTGTTTGCGATCAAACAGTTTGAATAGATTAGATTAGATTCAACTTTATTGTCATTACACGGGTACAAGGCAGCGAAATGCAGTTTAGGTCTAACCAGAAGTGCAATAGCAGCAACTGCAGGAATAAACCCACAGCAGATGTGAAAAATAAATATTAATACTGTTTTGTGCTGTTTGTACTAATAGATGTGTGGTCTGTTTGTTGGTGTGCCTTTTCCCCGCAGCGTCTCCTGCCTCTGGGTCTCCTGCACTGTCCAAATGTTTGAACAGCACCTCCTCTCTGGTCAGCTCTGACACGGGGGGCATAGAGCCCATCACAGGTCAGTCAGTGACTTGGTTTCTCTCCTTTCGCTTTTTTAATGGGATTTAAACTTTAAAAGATATGACTGAACAGCCTTTTTCAGGAGGTTTCATTTTACACTGGAAAAGCGATTTATAAACAAGTAAAAATTTCTTAAATTAAGTGTAGTTACCCTTAATTTGAGCAGCCAATGGAATGAGTGTTTTTCCTCTTAAAACAAGATAATTAGATAACATGCACTTAAAAAAAGAGAAACCAATTGTGTTTTCTTATTTTATTAAATGTACATTGTCTTGTTCCATTTGTAAAATGTCTCTTTTACCTCCTCAATCCAAGAACAAATGCATTTATTTTAAGGAAAAAAATGACTTATCTAGATTTTTATTTTTTTCCAATGTATCTTTGGTTACTGGCAGATTCTACAGATAAATGCAGTAACAAATTTAGAAATGGTTTCAAATTTGAATCAGACAAAACATTCACTAAATTATGTCGCATTTTTATTGTAAGCAAAATGCATTCGGTACTGTTATTCTATCTGTTAAGGATTGGTATCTAGTGTTAAAATAATCTAATTTAGATGCAAGATATCGGTTATATATTTGAAATTTGAAAGTTAGAGGAATCAAAGTTAAAGGTATAGTGGAGGAAGTTCTTTTTCCGGGTGGATCATCACAATAAGTGGTCCTCCTCATTGTCAATTATTCTGGTGATATGTTTACGTAAGGCCATCCTACATGCTCTTCCCTATTTTCACTTAGCAGTCTGAGAGAGTAGAAAAATTGTAAATCTCCTTTTTCAAAGTAAGCTTGTATGAGCGATGCAAACAGCAACTTTTAAACAGAGCGTGCAGGAGGGGAAATGGGCTCCTGCATGCTCTAACACGCATTAAATAGATGTTCCCTTTCGAGAGCAGGTACAGGGTTGGTCATGTGCTTTTTTTTAAGTGGAGAGGTTGGGTCTTTTTAAAAATGTGCGAAAATTCTCCACTATACCTTTAACTTATGATTTGCCAGACTTTTTCATCATTTATATAATAAGCATTTGGTTTAGCTTGAGCAGATAAATGTTGAGTATTTAAATGTCCAGAATGTTATAAAGCTGACAATAAAAGCTAGAATTTAAATCTAGAACAGTATGTAGTAGGGATGGAACGGTTTATGAAAACCGTCCGAACCGTTCGGTTAGACTGTCTCGGTGCGGTTCACATGTGTTGCGTTCGGTTCATGCGCTGCTCCTTTTTCTCATAGGCGAAGCGTTTACACTCCAGAGCAGAAGGTGGCGGTACTGCGACCAAAGCCAACCACCAGTAGTAAACAAGAAGAAGAAGAAGCGAAGCAGCATAGCCGGGTGTAATAAAAGTGCAACAGTGTGCAAGCATTGTGCAACACGTTTTGTTTATGCTAACAGCAACATGACCAACATGTCATGCTAACCCCAAAATCCTACATACTCTGTCAGCGCTCCGCCCCGCTGCGCTCCAGACCGCCTGCTCAAAGCAAAGACTACAGCCTCCGCTGTGGCTCCCGTCCGCTCCACTCTGAGGTCCTTGGAGATCGTAGAGGGCATGCTCCAGATGATTAAATTCAAAGCAGCAAAACATGCGGAAACGATCGAGGGTTTCCGCAGATCATTAAAAATAATTACTATTCATTAATTTTTTGGAATTTTTTCATTAATTTCATAAATTTTTATGGGATTTCAGGGTAACAACCAACATATACCAAACCGAAAACCGTGACCACGACTTCGTGAACCAAACCGAACCGTGGATTTTGTGAACCGTTCCACCCCTAGTATGTAGGATTCAGGAATAAGGGCTCATTATGCTTGATGCACGAATATTCCACCCGTCACAGTGTCTGCAGAATTTATAATCTTGCAGCTTTCCCCCCATTCTGGCTGGCACTGTGGGGGCTGACAACACAGATCTACATACGGAAGTAGAGCCGTAGAAACACGGCTGTGTGAAACTGTAAATCGCGGTATCACATTTGTGAACCCCAGCCAGCAGCACCTGCTGCTATCTTGGCCTGTTTTCCACATAGTTACACATTTTCCTAGGTGCTCCATGCGGAAATTCTGTCCCCACGGAGTCCTCTCAGAAGGCTGTTGAAATCCAAAATCACATAATTGTGCAGCACAGACCTGGTGGATGCGTCAAGCATAAACCAAGCTGCATGTAGCTCCAGCGTATACTTCTTGAAAATACGACTGTCTGGTTTGGAATGTGAAACTACTTGTATCAACACTCCTGTTGGTTTGAGCTTCACTAAGGTGAACACATAAAGAGGTCAGTTCATTGTTCTAAACTGAGAAAATTCATAACCTCTTTAGGAGACAAGCGCAAACTCCCAGAAGCGTTGACGCTGGAAGATGCCAAGAGGATCCGAGTGATGGGGGACATTCCTATGGAGCTGGTGAATGAAGTCATGATGACCATCACTGATCCTGCTGCTATGCTCGGACCAGAGGTCAGTTCCTCTAAACAACCATCAGACTGTTCTTAATGAATATTTTCTGAAACAGAAACATCTTATGGGTTAGCAAGCAGGCCTGTCACTTTTGTGAAAATTGACAGGGCTGATGCTGATTTAAGTTTAACTTAAACTTTATTTAGAAAATGAAGGTCTTCAAAACAACAGGAGGGAACAGAGGATGAACTTATATTAAATCTTTGGATGCAATACATGAAATTATCAGATCAATCATTCCACTGATTTTATTTCAGACCTCCTACATTAATTGTAATTTATCTTGATGATAATTACTCCAGATTATTTTGAAAATCAGGATGAGTAGAGCATCATCTAAAGAATGAAAAACCCAAAAAAATATACCGATAAAAGAGAATAAGATTATATTAAAACCAAAAAAGTTTTTTTTTTTTTTTTGTTATGCTATAACAAAGTTTGGATCTCTCTGCCACTCTACAGCCATTTTGATTTGGAATATTTTTTTTTATGAACAAAAATCAGAATATTAACATTAAGATTTAAAAACTGAGTAAAAAGTAGCTCCAGAAAATTAGCAATAGGTGATTCAGTCAACAATAAACACCTAAATCTTTGAATGGTACAAAAAAGTAATAAAGCCAGAAGTCTTCAAATGTAATGCAGTTCAGTTAAATTTGCTGAGTAAGACAGACGGATCGAATAACTTCTAACATATAGTTAATGGTTCCAGACTAATTTGCTGACACCTAATGCTGCCCGTGACGAGACCGCCAGGCTGGAGGAGAGACGAGGCATCATAGAGTTCCACGTCATCGGAAACTCCCTTTCCCAAAAGTCCAACAAAAAGATCCTGATGTGGCTGGTGGGCCTGCAGAACGTATTTTCCCATCAGTTACCTCGCATGCCCAAAGAGTACATCTCACGTCTTGTGTTTGACCCGTGAGTGACTATTCTCCTTCTTCGCTTGACTTTCTGTATGTTTTGGAGAGAATTTTCTGTGACATACCCTACTTTCACAGGAAGCACAAAACCTTAGCTCTCATTAAAGATGGCCGCGTCATCGGAGGCATCTGTTTTCGGATGTTTCCCACTCAGGGCTTCACAGAGATCGTCTTCTGTGCTGTCACATCCAACGAACAAGTCAAGGTAATTATGACCTGCACTATACTTAATAGTATTTTCTCTGTTCAAGACTTCTTTGTTTTTGTTTTTTGTCTTTAAAAAAAAAATCATCCAGTGTGTTAGTTGCTTCTTCAGTCTCATTGGAGAGTTTTCAAGCTTAAAGAGCTTTTTTCCAGTCGTAACCTGATGAAGTCCAGACATTAATTTTTTTTATTTTTATTTAGAGCTATTTGAAGGTACACCTGCTGTTGTGTTTTTTTTATATACTTGGCCCAAGACATAAGTAAAGTATGATGTTTCTTAGGTCCCCAAACCACCAGGAGCTGCTCATAAATACTTGCATTTTATGCTTATTTGAGATTGAGATCAGTATTGATTTAGATTTGTATCATTCAAGATACATTAGGGGACTTGAACAGTTTCAAACGTAATATTTAAATAAATAGGCAAGTTAACTTTAAAAAAGTTCTAACAATAATCTTCATTTCTTAATTGTTGTTTACATATTTAGAATGTGATATGAGTTTAATCTGTTCTTTATTATGTCTTTGCTTTGGTTAAAGTTACATTTTAGACCTCCTAAAAAATATCTGAGAATGCTCAGCCAGTTGAGCTTTTCTTTTTTCTAAGACTCCAACTAATCTATATTGAAAAGCTGATACAGGAGCTTCCCAGCTGATAGTTGATTATTTGTCAAAATATTCCATATAGAGCTGAATTCATATTGCCAAGGATTACAGCATTTCATAACTAACAAATCAGCCCCAAACCATCACTCTACCACCACCATGTCTCTCAGCTGACACTCAACCCTGATGTTATTCATGGACGTTTAGGTTCCTTCTGGATGAGTCCTTAATGTGCTCTTTGCTTTTTCAGAAGATTTAATATTGAATTTGTTTTGTTCTTGTTTTTTTAAGGGCTATGGCACCCACCTGATGAACCACCTGAAGGAGTACCACATTAAACACAACATCCTTTACTTCCTCACCTATGCTGATGAGTATGCCATTGGCTACTTCAAAAAGCAGGTACTGCCGGCTTAACCTGTGCATCTCTGCTTCTGTGGGTATTCGGGATGAAATGAAACTGAAATATGACCGAAAAGTGCATTTTCGGCCGAAAGACATTTAACGCCGAAACAGCATGGCTGAAAATTCTGATGATGGGGAAAAAGGATTTCAAGAATAATGCACAGCCAGCATGCAGGAATGTTGTAGAGTGCGTGAGGAAAAGGAAGCAAGAGGGCAGAGTTTGTGAGACTTGAGCACGTGGCAGACAAGTTCTTAATGAGGGGGGGGGAGTTCTACATGGGTCTCACTGCACTCTCAGGTCAGTGCCACAAAAAGCCATAGAAATCTAAACCCCAACACCATTATAAATATGAGAAGAATGCGACACAGAAAAGGAAACTTACACCGAAAATGCCCAAACGGTGTGGCATACATGCTTCAAAACAAAGAAATTTCCCTTTGATTCTGCCAAGGTGAAGGGCTTAACAAAAAGATTTCAGTCGTAAACAAATATCTTTCTAATTGAGTTAATGAAATATCTTGAGTTTAAAGAGTATTCAGTGTGTTAATGGGGTTGGTGCACATTGTAGACACTGATGCTGTGGTTCTAATTGACGTAATCATTTCATTTGGTGTTCTGATTTTGATTTCCTAATTTTTCGGTTTGTCCAAGAATCTTTATTTTGGTGCATTCCTAGTTGATACCTGTCTTCTAAGCCTTTAATTTTTTTCTTTTTCTTTTTTCACAAAGGGGTTTTCCAAAGACATTAAAGTGCCCAAAAGTCGATACCTGGGGTATATCAAAGACTACGAAGGAGCAACCCTGATGGAGTGTGAGCTAAACCCCAGGATCCCTTACACAGAGCTGTCTCACATCATTAAAAGGCAGAAGGAGGTATGTAAGAATGATAATTTTGCATTTAGAACAGACCTGCATTTAGTGCGGCTGTTTGATTTTGGCACAATCCTCGTAGATCATAAAGAAGCTGATTGAGAGAAAACAGAGTCAGATCAGAAAGGTTTACCCAGGCCTCACCTGCTTCAAAGAGGGGGTGCGACAGATTCCAGTGGAAAGCATCCCGGGGATAAGTAAGTCTAAAAGAGCTGGAAATGATCTAGTGAAATTAAATTATTCATCTTTTGACCAAACATTCTTTATTTTGTTCTAGGAGAAACAGGATGGAAACCCACAAACAAAGACAAAGGGTAAAAACTATACAGAGGCTGCATTTATTTGTGTCCCTCCATTAGTAAAACCTAGATGTTCATCTGCATCATTCCAAGTTTAACAGGTGATGTTTTTACAGGAAAGAGGTGAAGGACCCGGATGTGCTATACAATATGCTGAAGAACCTCCTGGCACAAATAAAGGTTAGTCACCCGACAACACAGATGAACAACATTGAGACTATTAACTAGGTTTCACACTATAGCATATCTATGTGTCATTTTCTAGGTCTGGGTCAGTTGTTCTCGTGGGTTTTTGCTTTGTAAAAGGATTTCACTCACATATCAACACTAAGATTTAAACTGTAACCATATTTGGTGTTGCAATGTTAAAATATGTACATTAACACTGAGGGAAATTTCAGATTTCAAATTTCCAGTTCTAATTTAAAATTACTGAATTAAAGGCAGCAGGATTTTTTTCGATTGCATAGAAGCATCTAGTTTGTTTTATTTCTTTAAACTCAATGTTTTCACTATTGCTTGTTTGATCTGTGAAGGTTGATTGTCAATATTAGTGTTTTACAGCAGATTTTAATCTACAATGATCTGAAAAGCTGCTATAATGGTTTCCCTTTTAGAATAAAATAAGCAAGGTGACCTTTGGCCAATAAAAAACGAATAAAGCCACATGGTTCAGCAGTCTTGCTTTGTCAGAGTTTTCTTTTTTGGCTAGTTCGTAAAAGCCACCTAGTGGCAGCATTAGAACATTATGGAGAAAACCACCCATGCAGGACCCAAACATTTTTTAAATATCTAAAAAAGGAGGGAAATACAGCAACCTTTCTTATCCAGTTGCACTGTATAATAGCTCTAAGGATGTAGTTTGTTTTAATCTTACTCAGACATATTTTGCTCTGATTTAGTATTGTGGAAATAAGAGGTCTTTAAAAGACTAAAATGCAGGTGGAAAAGTCAATGTTTTTTTTTAGTTTTATCCAAAATGTCCAGAATATATGGAATTGGGCCGCAGAAAATACACTTTGTTTTGATAAATCTTTTACACCTTATCTAACTCTGAACTAGAAAACGTCTCTGCTTTGAAATACTCAATGCCCTGTTTTTCTTCCCCAAGGACTGAAACCATTTAAGAACCTTTGCAACTGAAGGATTCTATTAGCTCCACCTTGTTGCAACATGTTGCAGTCAACTCAGAGAAAAATGCAGCATCTAACTTTTAAATGATCTTCTTTACAATTGAGTCATGACTAGAATGCGAACACTTTCTAAGTAAATGATAAATGTTTAAATGTCTTTAAAGCTATCTACCTTTTTTCCTCGAGTTTATGATCAAGAAAATTGAGGACTTATGAAGCTAGAATAATGTAAAAACTCTTTAGTAAAGGGCTCAATTCCCTCTTCTCCTCAGACTCATCCTGATGCTTGGCCCTTCATGGAACCAGTGAAGAAATCGGAAGCTCCTGATTACTACGAAGTCATCCGCTTTCCTATTGGTAAAAGGGCTTTTTTTTATTTATTTAGAAAAATAAAACAAAAAAATCCAGTTGATTGTAAATTATTTGAGATGATAGCTACACGTTAAACAACTCTCATCATACCAATGTTCTGTGCTGTTTGCAAACCTGTTGCGAGTTCCACTAATGCTAAGCAAACCAAACATTTAACTCACCAGTTTAAAAGAAAAGTGGCAACCTCCCTGTGCCTTTTAAGTCCCTTAACCTCCATAAGTCAGCACCAACTCTCTAAAGTTTTTTTTTAAACTTTAGTCTTGGGTATTAAATGCCTAAAAGAATCAATTTCTGGGGATCAGATATGTGATATTAAGTAGTAGAGCCCGACAGATATGAGATATCGATATTGGGGGCTTTAAAAACAATATCCGATATATTGGCTGATATGCGAGATATATCATTCAGAATATTTAAAAAATTTACATGGACATAGACAGGATATGCACTGTCCAGCTATAGTCCAACTCAAATTCTTAAAATAACTAAGACAACGAAACAGGAAATATAGAATTAAAATAAACACCTTTAATTTGAGCAGTGTCAACATAAGACTATAAATATAATCCTTTTTTGAGTTGTTGATTTAGATATTGCCTCATATATATTATGAGGCAATTTTTGCATCACTGGTGCTAGAGCCCTGACTAACTTTAACACTGCAGATGCTGCATCCAACAGCTGTTACATCCTTCATGGTTCCACACCTGACTGTTCCTCGCCGCCTGTGAAATTAATACATATCTTTAGTGTATTTTGCTAATTAGATTTTCTCTCTACAGATGAGATTTTAAAAATGAAAACCAGTGATTACATACAGCTTAAAGTGATAACGCACAGGCTGATGGGAGGCATTTTGTATCTGATTCATTTTTATGAAAACACCCTAGAAATGTAAGTTTTTCATATTTACAAGCAACTGAAAAGTTCTCTCCTCCACTGAACACAGATTTAAGAAGCAATACTGCAGCTTATGAAACATAGATATTACAACTAAATACAGTTTGACCCTATTGAAAATGAGTTTAATGAAAACATTAACTTCTGAATTTATGAGCCCATTGCAGCCTGCATCTAAGTATGAAGTGTAGTAGGACTCAGTATAATATGTTTATTTCAAAAAGAGCTAAAAAAAAAAACTTACACAGAGCTAAAATGGTAACATGTTGGCCAAAATTAGCGCAAATAAAACTCGCAAACTCACAAATAAAACTTATCAAACATGTTTGATTTTCTACCGACTGTCGTGGGCAAATCGCTGAGGGCGCATGTGCAAACAAGGATTCTTCTTTTTATTCTTCCTCTCAGATGTAAACACAGCAGCATGGCAGGGAGGCAACGAGTGAAATGCAGTTCTGTCTTCTTTTTAGGGCTTGCAGCGAGTTTCGCTCTACTGAGCTTCATATTCCCCTTCTTTTTGTTTGGCTTCCGGATAGACGAGTCAGAGCAACTCGATGTCACTGCGGAGCTGAGTCCGACGTGGTTTTTCGTCTTACAGTGTGAGCAGGTAGATCACATGAGAGCGTCGGGCCGAACTGTGAACTCACACTGTACGATTAAACCCTGCGATTAATCGTACAGTGTGAGCAGTAGCTGCGTGCAATGACTGAAAAAAATCGCACAGTGTATGCCCGGCTTAAGGGGTGGACCCGTTCTTTCAGTTCAATTTGGGAGCCATCACAAGACTTTAGTTTGTGCCACTCTATAAGCCTTGAACTCAAAAGACATTTTGAATTAAAAAAGCTTCCCGGATCTGAAACAAACCAGTCCAGCAGATTGTTTTTTAACTTTTTTTGGAATGACTGACCTGGATGACTAAGAGTCTTCACCAGCCCTAACGGCATGTTTCCATGAGGATGTTTATTGCTCACTTTCTCCTCCATGTTGTCCAGACTAAAGGCTGATTTCTACTTCGAAACCAGGTTATCTGCGTAGGTGTTGCGGTGAACCCAGAGACGTTCCCACCCCCTCCGCAGACACTCTGCTGCACCTCTCCCAAATTGTAGGTGACCGCAGAAAGTGCAGCAGACACGAGGCCTCCGATTGGTCAAATCTACATCGCTCTACACGATGCGTATCTCCTGTTTGGTACCTTACCGGCTTGTTTTGTTTGTGTGACCACGATTGCAGAGACGACTGGTGAAGATGGACTAGCTGGAAGAGCGAAATGCTGGACCCTTTTTCCACCTGGATCCCCGCTCTTTTTTGCCCTCATGTCCCTCCGTTGTTGGACGCACTTGCGCCCATTTCCTCACCGCTTTGGCCATATCTAGACCCACGGCTAATTCTTGATTTTCCCTTTTTGCGTTGTGGCGCGGAATAAACATAGTGCAGAGCTTGCTTCAATATTGAGCCTAAATCAACCAGCCCTTAAGTGCGTGTGTTCGGGAGGGGAGAGGCAGCATATTAGGAAGGGAGGGCCAGAAGTTTCTTCCAGTTGATTAAAAATATAATTTTTGCATCGGCCACATTTTAGCCGATGATGATTGAGTCAGATGCTAAAATCAGCCTGCTGATTAATCGGTTGGGCTTTGTTAAATACAGCTTTATGCTTAAAAAAACAGCATATCTTATTAATTACTTTGACCTGTTCTGTAATTTTGCTTTCACAGACCTGAAGACTATGACAGAGAAGCTCAAGAACAGATACTATGTAACTAAGAAACTCTTTATTGCGGACCTTCAGCGAATCATCAGCAACTGTCGCGAGTACAACCCCCCAGACAGCGAGTACTGCAAGTGTGCCAACACCCTGGAGAAGTTCTTTTACTTCAAATTAAAAGATGGAGGCCTGATAGAGAAATGAGCTACAGCACAAGTGGAAAAATCTTAGCAGATATTGTCTAATCTGGGTTAAGGAAAATATGAATTCATTTTGCAGGGGAGCTGTGGGACTTGAGCTATGAAAGACATCAAAGTCATTAATGGTCTCTAAACAACTTTACGTCATTTTCTGACAAGTCACTGGGAGAAAAATCTTAATTAATTCATGCCTCACTGAGCGTACCAAAGGTTTACAGGTCCAAGATTTAAAATGGCTTCTGCTCTTGCTGTTTTTACTGGTTCATATTTATTGTCGTTGATGGTCTAACTGCATAAAACGAGTCGCAACTGTTCATGTTAGAAAACTGGACTTGGGACCTAAAGCCATGTTGCCTTCTGTTACTGAAAGACACTTGAACATCCCAGCCACTTTCACGGGTGTGAAAATAGACTTTCTCAGAGGGTTTGTTTGCTCAAAATCCACTTAAATCGGTCATTATTAATGAAAAAAAATATATAATGTCAGTACTTGTTTATGAAGTAAAGTTTTTTTTTTCTTTTTTTAATGATACTGGTGATCATTTTGCTTTTGATTAAAGAGGAGGCATTTTTAATGCATTGTTTACTTAAGAGAAATGAATCATCTTATGAAGAGAAAGGACACATTTGGCCGCACTTCCAAACTTGTCTAAGCATTAGATCAATATTTCCTGTGCCAAACCAAGCAAATTTCAGACAGCATATGTTTTATTGATCACATCACGCACTTTTATCAAATAAACTCTTTAAGTACTGATCCATTAGGAATGTTTTTGTACCAGATATTTCACTACAAGGTCTAATTGGGCTTAGCTTTAAAAGTGCCTGTTCTGTTTAGCAGGAGGCACCAACTCAGTTTTTTTTTTCTTCCTGTCAGTTATCACAGACATGCTAAAAAAATGTCTTTGTTTGTTCCAAGTTTGTTGGATAATTGATATGAAGGCACAAACATAGCAAGGAAGAGCTTTCCAGTAAGATTAGTTGTCATTCAGGCTTCAGGAAAGGTGTTTATTTTTCAAATCCTAATGACTGCACCCAACTCAGAGTAGATGTTAGAGGATTACAGTTTACATTATTCCTTCGGAAACAAAAAACCCACATTGTTTTTGCTGTTTGTTTCCTTTTTACTCTGTATTGGTCTGTGTCAAGGTGCTTCCTGAGATGCTTCCAGTTTTTCAGGGGCCTAAATGTCAAATGCTGACTGATTAATCTTGTTGAATGTTTCATTGACACTGTATGTGGAATCTTTTATTTTTTACTCAAATGAACTGAGAGCTTTGTTTAAGTGATGTCAGTACCGCTTTCTTCAGGGTTTTCAATGACATGTTTCACCTTAGATCCACCAATGCTGCATTTCAATCTTTCAGAAAAAGCTTCGATGGGAGTGAAGCAGTCGGCTGTTGAGTTACCATTTACTGTAAAACTGTTCACAATAAATACCTTTCTTTATATAATATATATACATGGCTCAACAAATAAAGGGAACACGTAAAAAACAAACTGGGAAATCAAACTGTACTCTTAGGAAGCAACACTGATTGATATCAATATTACATTCTGTTGTTCAAATGGAATAGACAGGTGGAAATTAATGGCAATTAATGTTGGAGGGTTCATGTGCGACACATTTGCAAACCAAATTGTGTGGATACTGTCACTGAATTGTGGCACCTGCTGGGCATTTAAAATCACTACATGCAGCCTCTGTGACAGACTAAACTGATACTGATGACTTATATGATTTAAGCCATTGTTTGCTATAATGTGTTATTTCATATCTATAAACTGAAAATATATTTTAGATGCAATCCAGAAATGTAAACATACAACAGGAAAATCTAAGCTAACATGTGAATAAGGATGTTTGTGGATTAGGATTTAGGCATATTTATTTATTTAGTATTTAAAACACTAACTACACTAATAACAAAGATGAGAGATCTAAATGGTCCCCCCCGGGGCATGACAAAAGTACAGGCCAGAACAAAATAAGGCAACATCCCCATGTTTACGTCGACTCTGGGCTTTGTTTGAATTCAGAGGTGTTGATGGGGTTTCAACTTCTCTGTACGTCCATTTAACCCACATGAGCTCGACATGTGCACCACAGATTGGTGTTGCTGGACCAATCACTAGCAATTAGCAAGACGCAATAAATTAGCTGTTCTACAGATGGGGACCACAGACCACTTCTCAGTACCTATGCTTTCCTGCTGATGTTTTGGTCATTATAAATGTTGATGGTGCTTTCACACTCGTAGCATCCCACACAGGTGGCTCAGGTAGTGCAGCTCATTGGATGGCACATCAATGTGAGCTGTGGCAGAAAGGTTTGCTTTGTCTTAGCGTAGTGCCCAGAGGCTGGAGGCTCTAACAGAAGACATGGAGGAGGGCAACAACCCAGCAGCAGGACTGTTACCTCTGCCTTTGTGCAAAGTAAAATGAGCAGAGAGATCTGTCTGCAACAGCCTTCGGCGTGAGCGGTTTGGCAGTGAGTCAGTAATGCTGTGGGGTGGCTTTTCTTCGGAAGGCTGCACAGCCCTCCATTTGATCGCCAGAGGTAGCTTGACTGCCATTAGGTACCAAGATGACATCCTCAGATCAATTGTTACACTGTATGCTGGTGCGGTTGGGCCTCCTAATGCAGGAGAATGCTAGCAGATCCTGCAAATTAAGGCATTGAAGCTATGGACTGGCCCGCCCATTCCCCAGACCTGAATCCGATTGAGCATATCTGGGACTTCATGTCTCGAGCCATTCATCAAAGTCACATTGCACTACAGACTGTCCAGGAGTTGGTGGATGTTTTAGTCCAGGTCTGGGGGGAGAGCCCTTAGACCATCCACCACCTAATCAGGAGCAGGCCAAGGCATGGTAGGGAGGTCATACAGGCACGGGGAGGTCACACACAAAAGTAAATCTAATTTTTACCTGTTTTAAGGACAATACATCAACATTGAATCTGTTTGTATTTTGTTTTTCCAATCTAATTGTGTGTGTGACTCCAAATCTAGACCTCCATTGGTTAATAAAAGTGTTATTTGAGTGTTCCCTTTATTTATATACATATATTATTTTACTTTTTTGGGGGGTTCAAACCCCACATCAAACATATGAATCATGGGCTTATAACATCATCCAGTCTTGGTCCTTGGATTGTGTGCCTACCTGACAATACGAGAGCCAACGTCACCTCGTCAAACATGATCTGCATCAAATGTTGAGGAACCAGGACGCTGTTAGGACAATGGGCTGATGGAACAAGACAATTAGCATGGGAACCTAAGGCACTTTTGGTATGCTACTACGCCCGTAGTGGGAACTATGGGAGCTTCGATTCCAGCATTCTGAACTAGCAGCTAAACACCTAATGGCTCATTGTCTTCCAACATTCACAAACCGCAGCTAATTTCACAGTTAATGTCAGGAGATCCAACAATTGAAAACCTAGAGCTGTGCAAGATCAACAGCACTCAAAGAACCTTCATCACAAAATCCATGGGGCTGTGGAAACAACACCTGAGCCCAACATCAAGCAACTTAGAAAAATCTCCATCAAATGTGGTATATGCCAAAAGGATGCTCAGTCTGGAAATGTGCGATTCTAGGGACAGCTAAGACACTGAGAAGTATCCTCAAACTCCCACGTCTCTGATGGAGGACCTGAGCTTGAGATGAAGCAGCCCCCCACCCGACCCAGGAGTACAAGGCGTGGGTTTTGTTTTGTTTGGCAAAGTCTTTTCAGGTTATTTTCTGACTCACTCAGTAGTTGATGTGAAAGAACAATTAAAGTATCAACCAGTAATAATTAAAGTAATCAAATTATCTCCCAACCTGCAGTCATAATGAGGTATATTATTTAGGGAAATTACAGTTTTAAAAGAATAAGCGAATCATTCAGTTTAGAGTTAAACATAAAAAGCAGTGCTTGTTAATAAATAAGGTTTTTTAGAATCGAGGTTTGGGGAGTTGGAATATGAACATGATTGGGGCTTCATAGGATATTAAATGATCTTTACATGGGGAAGAAGGCTGATCCAAAACCAAAGCTCTTGGTTTACCACTATGTCTATCCGACAGCTCTGAAGTATGGTGGAGTCCCTGACTAGAAAATCAGCATTCCAGATAAAACAGCTGAAATGAGTCTCCCACTGTATGGAGAAGAAAATATGAACATTTTTAAACTTAAAAATAAAGAAAATGCTTCCTAGATAGGAGAAAATGCAGTTAAGATGCATCCAGGTAAAAATCAGAAGTTTTTTAACTAAAAAAAGAGCAACGGACGTAAAGAAATATGGAAGAATCACTATGAGAAAAGAGACTTCCAGAGTAGGTAAGGTGCAAAAAGCTGGAAATCATTTCTAGTTACTGATTTGACTTCATATCTTTTATAGCTTCTTTGGACAAGAACAAAATAAGTTAAAAGGCTTTGCTGTAAATAAGGCTGGTGGTTAATAGTCACCTGTTTTAAATGAAGTAGATTATAAATCGCCATATAGAAGGAGCTCCAGACAAGTACGTATCTTTTACAAAATTGACTTTAAGAAAAATATGTCAGGGGATTCATTAATAAAAACTTGAGAACTTTCCGGCCTTTTGTTGCACTCATGTTTAAGCATGAATGCAAGGCCTTAGGTTTCATTTCCCCAACCTCATTGATAAATAAGTAACGCTCTGCTGCATACCAACGCTTTCAGTTTGTTGTGGCCTTTTGGATATGCTCAGTAATGCACATTTCTTTGCTCCCCATGTTGGATTTTATAAAGTTTGTGGAAGAACTACTCTATATGTGTGGCTTTCTGCCTCATTTAGCTCTACAGAGCTTTTTTTTTTTTTTTGACATCTTGCTTATTACTATTTATTTATTCTCTATTAAACAGTAGTACTGAGCATGCAAAGTGTAGATTTTAATTTCAAAACCTTGTTCTTGTTTTAAGTAACAGGAAAATAAGCAGCAGTACCTTGCTATCATTCATTTTTATGTTTTGTAGCAAGTAATTGTATGTATTTATTTCTTTTTTTTTGTGTTTCTGATTTATTATATCAATTGAGCGAAAAGAGTTTAACTTTTCTCTTTTTTGCTCTAAGGGATTTGTTATAAACTTCTAAATAAAATTTTTTAATTCACTAGAATATTCATATTTTCTTATGGTTGTTAAAGCTTTCTTGAATTTTTTTGGTACTGGTTGCTATGGAGTTGTTTTGTTATCCTTAGGTGGTATGTAAATGTTTTGCATGTATTGTATTAAGGTCAGAATGTAAATCAGTAACCAAATGAAAACAACTTACAGCAACTAAAAGATGAGTGTTATGTATGAGCAGAAAAGCTCTGTAAGTTTTGTTTTCCTGGTATAAAAATAAGGCGGGGCCAAGTAAGGGTACCATGAACCACCCAGGAAGTAGAACATTCATGCGCTATCTGCTTTAAACCACAAGTGAATAAGTATAAATAAAATGCAATTAATAAGTATGAGTGTAGATGGTATTTATTTTCCAACAGCGATTGTAAAAGAAGTTTTCTTAGGTGAGCTAGGATCAGGTTTCCTGTGTCACTGCATAATAAACAAAGTGTTGGACTTCCAGAAACTCCCTCAGTAGGGCCACATTCATGAGATCAGATGGTTTTTGCTTTCGTTTTCCAGTTTAAACTTCACAAAGACTGATCTGCACAATTTAAATCCACACCACCTGCCTGGTGAAGTCTCAGTAGAGAAGGAGAAGCTGAAAACATCGAAGCGATCTCTGGTAAGTTTAAATTCCTCAGATGTTTTCTATCAGAAAGAGATTCATGACAATGAGTGATCACCCTATGCTTGCCTTTAAAGAATTCCCTTTGTGTTTTAGTGGATTCCCACGACTAAGCAAAGGATGGCAGATTTTCAACTACGTGACTACCAGAAGGAAGTGGTGGAAAAGGCACTGAGGGGAGAAAATGTCATAATTTGGCTCCCAACAGGAGGTGGGAAGACCCGAGCCGCTGTCTATGTGGCCAGAAGACATCTGGATACCACACCAAATGGCAAAGTCATGGTGCTGGTGAACAAGGTACTCAACAATGAATTCAAGGATAAGAAAATTACAACTGTTACCGATTCTATCTAAGCACCAAATGTATTCGGGTTACTTAGTACATCAACACTTTTATGATGACAGGTTCACCTTGTAGACCAACACTACACCAAAGAGTTTTGGCCTTTTCTGGGTGAAGATTTTAAACTGATGAAGGTCAGCGGTGAGAGTGATGAGAAGGATTTCTTCGGGATAGTGGTGCAGGCCAATGATGTGGTCATCTGCACAGCACAGATCCTGTATAACGCTCTGATCAACAAGGAGGAAGCAAAACACACAGAGCTCTCAGGTCTGTGAACCAACCTGATCAGGAATGTTGCTTATGATGGGTGAGGAGCATTACTGTGCTTCAGCAAACTAACCACATCCTCCATTTCTCATTGCACTCAGATATCACTCTACTGATAATCGATGAGTGTCATCACACCCAC